TATCCCGGCACCAGTCTACTGCTATCCCGGGCACCAGTCTATTGCTATCCTCGGGGTCCTAGCAATAAATGTGGCCAATTTTAAGAACTGTCGCAAAATATTCGCAGAAAATAAACGGTCTTTCCTCGTGGAAGCGGAAAGATTAGCGTTAATCTTGATAGATAGTTAATGTAGTCATCAATAATTAATATTTTATCAAAGGTGGTTGGTTGTTGGGTGAGATCCACCGCGGTTAATAGTGAATAACATCGCCACACTACCACACTCCACACTACCACACCCCACACCCACACACCACCACCACACCCCACACACCACCACACCCCACACACCACCACACCCCACACCACCACACCCCACACCACCACACCACCACACCCCACACCACCACACCACCACACCCCACACCACCACACCCCACACCCACACACCACCACACCACCACACCCCACACCACCACACCCCACACACCACCACACCACACCACACCACATTACAAATAACCGCCATTAGGGCCCATTAATCAAGTGGTCGCATTGCGGGAAACGAGAGAGAGAATGAACCGAACTTTACCATCAATATCCTCACGCCACAACCTTTGTCCACCGAAGCTTTATCCCATTAAAACAGTCAAGGCCTTCAAACTAACCAAGCCCAACCGTTACGGAGGAAGGTGACACCTCTCGTCGACACAGTTTCCCGGCTTTATCGGCAGTAATTGCACCCCCCCCCCTCCCCCAGTTATTGACCCCGTGGCGATTCTAACTCTTATCAGTCTTGTCGGTTCATTAAAGACTTTGAAAGGTTCCCGCTTCTTTTAGACCCCGGACATATTATTGGAACCCTGACCTGTTTATGGCTAGCTGTTCTCCTGTGGCAGCTCTGGGGGTGAACAGTCTGTTCATGTTATAGTTGTTATAATGTGTTTGTGGCTTGGCATCATGCGCCTTGTGTGGGTAAGGACTATCAGTAGGTCATTTTCCTTATTTTCAGATATTTCTTTTCCAGATTGGTTGATTGGTAACAATAATACTAGACTAGGAACATGAGTTTATGACTGAGTTATCTTATCTTAGGCTTGATCAAATTTCTGGTAATTTTGACAAGAGTAAGAAAAAACTAAATGAAATGTATATAATATAATGGAAAGCTTATCATTCCGTAAGAATTTTTTTTTTTATTATTTCTCACAAAAACTCGGCTTATTAGACTACTTAGCCAATAGTTACATTATATATAGATATATATATTATATATAATATAATATTTATATATAGTATATATATTTATATATATAATATATATATATATATATATATATATTATACTGAACTGTCTGGGTTCGAATCCTTCTGGGTTTGTGGAGTTTTCAGTTGTATATATATATATATATATATATATATATATATATATATATATATATATATATAGATATATATATATATTATATATAATGTTGCAATAAATCCCTCTTGAATACTGGCCGGGATTTGAGGCTATATACCAAGTTACATATGTATTATAGAAAGTAGAAATTCGGGTTGAGTGGAGAGCAGCCCCCGCTCCGGGGCGGGGAATCTCCCGGCTCGCTCGCTGCAAAATCGAATACGGTACAATTTCTGGCCAATTGCCTCGTGCATGTCAGTGCCGGGAGCGGCGGGGAGGGTCAACACTCAGGCACTGACAGTCTGCGTCTGTGGCGTCTGAACCGCCTGTCAAGCGGTCTAAATGGTGGCACTCTGGTGGCACTATGGTGGTGGTGGTGGCTCTCTGGTGGTGGTGGCTCTCTGGTGGTGGTGGCTCTCTGGTGGTGGTGGCCCTCTGGTGGCTCTCTGGTGGTGGTGGCTCTCTGGTGGTGGTGGCTCTCTGGTGGTGGTGGCCCTCTGGTGGTGGTGGCCCTCTGGTGGTGGCCCTCTGGTGGCTCTCTGGTGGTGGTGGTGGCCCTCTGGTGGCTCTCTGGTGGTGGTGGTGGTGGTTCATCCCCTGGTAGTAGTGGCAGGACTGTTTTGGGTAGAAGGCGCAAATTACCTTACGTATGGGTGGTGGGTTGGTTGGGTTAGGTAAGATCAGCACTAGTATACCAAAGAGCACTTTAAGATAACCGCCATGAACCATACACCTTGTAAATGGTAATCACCTTGTTTTGTGAGTCATAATGACGAGAAAAGTGCAAGAAGGGAGAGAGAGAGAGAGAGAGAGAGAGAGAGAGAGAGAGAGAGAGAGAGAGAGAGAGAGAGAGAGAGAGAGAGAGAGAGAGAGAGAGAGGAGGATTGGAAGGAAAGAAGGTTGAGAAAAAAATATTGATATAAATAATAAAAATCCGTAGATAGCAAAGGACAGATTGGTCCCCTCGCTGCACCTAGAGGGGAGATATACAAGCTGTCGTTAACTTCCTTATCAACCTGTCAAGAGGGGAAACTGGGTAATTATATGATAAAGAGCCATCAATGAGAGCAAGGGGGGAGACACTATCTCTCTCTCTCTCCTACCTGCTCACATTCCAAAACTACTGACATCTCCCCTTGTCTCAACCTTCCATCGTTTCCACCACCTGTTCACTACCCCTCTTCCTCCCCTC